CAGTTATTTTAAATAGTAAAAATATTTCAACATTTTACTGTTTTTGATCTACTTTAAATGCAGCCTTGGTGAGCAGAAGAGAATTCTTACAAAAAAAAAAAAAAACATTAAAAATCTTACTGTTCAAAAACCTTTGACTGGTAATGTAGGGTGGCTGATTGTTGTTATAGATTGAAACAAATGTGCTTCAGCCAGAAAAAAGGGTATGAAAAGTGCTCCGAGTCGCTGCAGAAAACAAAAAAATTGAACAACAACAAAAACTGGAAACGTTGCTGGAGACGGGCTTATTTAAAATGAAAACTCATTCTCTGCCAGCAGGAGGCGCTTTTAGAGTGATAGAACTAGCGGTTTGTCCAGTAATGGCTGTAATCAAAGCAGCTCCGCTCATGAATGCTACTTTATCAGATCAAATGAAAATGCCATCGAAACTTTTCTGAAGACAGTCAATTCCCTTTAGAGATACATTCATATAAAACACCCGCGCCGTGTTATGATTTTGAAACGTGCAGTGCTCATGTTTATTCAACGAAGTCAAACGGCACAAATAAATAAATGTATGGGAAACTGGTAATGTATATCGAAATATCGGAAATGTGTTTAAAAATCATATCACCGTTATTGAAAAAAATTATATCGCCATACATATTGATATTGAATTATTGTCCAGCCCTAGTTGTGATTTTAATAGCTGTCTTATGCGATAGCATCCAAAGATGAAAAATCTATCATCATTCACTCACCATCATGTCGTTATCTGTTATCTGATAATCTGTTATCTGATACGCTATCTGTTTATAGCTTCCTTTCTTCTGTGGAACACAAAAGAAGATATTTCAAAGAATGTTGGTAACCAAACCATTTTGGTTACCACTGATTTTCACTGTATGGAGAGAAAAAGAAACACTAAGACATTTCTCAAAATATATTAGTTTATGTTCCACAGAAGAAAAAAAGAGAGATTTAGAGTGACATGAAGGTGAGAAAATGACAGAATTGTAATTTTAGTGTGAACTATGTCTTTAAATTCCTCCAGCTGTTTTACATTAAAAGAGTTCAAATTACTTAGATGTGTAAGATCAAATTAGATCAAATCTTGTGAATGTGCAAAACTGTCTGCTTCTAATGAGTAATGTCTGGCTTCTAATGTACAATATAAATAACGGGCTGGCGCCCTCTATCGATTGAACCTAGAAAACCATTTAGTTTTGCTGTAACCAGGGACCCCAACCAGACCCTCAACCAACAGATGGACCCCAAGTATAAAAAAGCTATTAACTTTAAGAACATTTACTAATAACAAGTTTTACTACTAACTTTAAAATGTTTTTTGTGTGTG